GTTACGTATTACTACTAGTTACTACTATAGTACTACAGCTACTACTACTAGTACTAATACTATATAGTATAGTACTACTACTACAGCTAGTACTACTATACTAGCTCCAAGAAACGGTCTTTGTTAGGGTTAGAATACCCCTATACTAGACAACCCCTGCTTATATAGGAAGCAATTTACTCTAGCTAGTTCCTGATACTGACAATGACAATGGCAGTGGGAGATTGTAGTGGTAGGGGTGCATTAGTCCAAGCCGACGCAGACCCCAGTAATGGGGATGATGATAAGGGTTAGAGTAAACAGTAAACACAATTTCTTGTGTAGTCGAGTAAACAGTGTGTCACCATGCTCTCTAATGTACCAAACTGTTGAGCAGGTACAAGTCTGACTCTATGTTATAGCCGGCAGAGCTGCCGGCCGAGCAGGCAAAGTCGTACGCAAATAGTACTAGTAGGTCTCAGGGGAGAGATAGTGAATATAGAAATAAGTTGTCAACTGAAATTTGTGAAAATGCTAAGAATAGATTGTAACATAATTATTTGATATCTCCTGCTTATTATAAGCTATACGTATAATACTTGTAGAAATGTAATAGTTATCATATTGTAAAAATTTTCCAAACTTTAAATGTGCTGTTGCTTTTGACTTTTTGCTCACGTGACTACAATGGCTAACATGACATCTGCACCCACACATAATTATATTACTTTGAAACGAACATAATCGGAAACTTGAGAACATCACATTGGTCTCTTCAAGATGGATACGGGAAGTTGAAGCGGCAGTGACGATTGCAGGGCTAGACTGGTACCGACCTTCACTCCGCCAACTATCGTTGGCTACACTGAAGTGAGTTACGGTAGCATGTGGAACTGTCCACCGGGCAGCAGTCTAGCTCAGTGATCCGAGCTTTGCGTAGAAAAACGACTTGAAAATGCTATGTACGTGGCCTCGTTGCGCCATCTATGGGATGCTATAAGTTGTAAAATAATGTCAGGGCATGAAACAGCAAAAATGGTAAATCGGTTTTCTACAGAAAAACGACGCGCGCCGAGCAGCAAACCAACAATTACGACCATTTGTATGAAATGTCTACCTACGTGCGTAGTGAAAAGGCTTGTGGAATTGCCACAACTGCTCAATTGAGCGATTATAGGGCTTTCTGCTCTACCCAAAGGGAACTGAGGAAGGTGTTGGAAACAGTGCAGCGAATTTGATTTAGTGTTGCCGCTAGGTGGCGTTGTTCGCGCTTCGCGCGGATCCGGGCTGGCAATCGTCGAGAACATGGTGAAATCGTTTTCATGGGTGAAAATTTAACATTATCCGCACGTAATCAAAACAAGTGTGACTAAGGGAAAAATTCAGCACTGGCCACACTTATAAGTGCGACCAAGGGGAAAATTTAGCATTATCTGCACGTAATCCAAATAAGTGTGGCCAAGGGAAAAATTCAGCACTGGCCACACTTATAA